ATACCGATTGACAAGTACGTCAGCGGTGCCTTCGGCGGTGAATTCTGCAGCCGTAACCGGGTAAATGTCAGCACGGCGGCTGAAACGATCAGTGAAAAGCAGAATATATGTGTTTCCGCGCGGTGTCAACGGGAGGGGACCGAAATAATCGACGCTCACCGACACGCCAGGGTCCGAAGGCAGCGGAAGGCACAAAGTAGGCCATCGAGGCGTTTGACGAGATGACTTGCGAGCTTGGCATCGCAAACAATGCCTTACCCACCACTTCGTGCAAACACTCATGCCAACCCACCAATAAAAACGTTCCAGCATGCTAAGCGTGCGAGCGGCACCGAGGTGGCAGGATGCATCAGCGTGACAGGCTTGCATGATCCACAGACGCATGAGCATGGGAACATAAATCCGAATGGGTTCGTCGTTGAGAAGGCGAGCAGCACGCCCGCCAGGACGTGTGGTCGTAGACGACGGGGGCGCTGTTTGCTTGCGAACAAGTAAGACCAAACCATCATCGTCAACCTGTAACCGGCCTTTGTTAGACAGGTCACGAATCTCCGACAGAGGAGGTCGACGAGCGGACGGAAGATGATCCAGGAAATCCGAAGGGAGAGCCGAAGGCCGACCCAGAAGGATGAAACGAATAGCTGCATCACAAACAGGTTCGTTACGTTGCTCGCGAGCCCAATCAGCATGCGAGAAACGTTCGACAGACGCCCGGAAGGCTAAATCTGCCGAGGAATGTAAAGCCGCCTCGATAGAAGAGGGAGCCGATTCCTGAGGCTCCGGCTGCAATCCACCCGAAGGCAGAGTAGCAGCGGAAACCGAAGACGAAGGCGTACGAGTGGTCGAAACCGAACGCGTCGAAGATTCCGAAGAATCGGGGGCAGCAGAAGACTGCTGGGCAGGAGCAACCGAAGTTGCAGGATGCGTCGAAGACGCAAGATCCCTTCCGCGAGCCAGAGGCGTATGAAGGTCTGGGATCGAAGTGTCAGCACCAGGAGCCGAAACCAACCTGGTCAAAACGGGGGGCGTAGTCGATGCTGAAGACGCGGGCGAAGAACGTCGAAACGATCGGGGCGAAGCGGAGATCCGAGTGGGAGCAGGTGGGTCCTCAGAGAAGCCATAATCCACGGGCGGGAGGGGCTTGCCTGCCACAACCGCCGTGCGACGGCGAGTTCGCGTGGAAAGCAGTTGAGTAGGGTCGAGAGTCCGTCGTGATGCGGCAGTCGGCGAGACGGCCGGCGAAGACTCGGGCTCGAGAGCCAAAATGTCCTCCACCGAAGAATGTAAGGAGCCAAACCAATCGAGGGTCCTGCCACACAGACGTCGTAGCGAAGGAGACAACCCGCGGGGGTTGTTGGACGGCCAGGGTGCGATGTTCCAGATGCCAGGCGGAGACGAAAGGCCTGACGGCGAGAGACGTGGACCATGCCGACGGAAGTCGACGAAATCATCTGCAGAGGGGGCCAGCCCACCCAAGACCGAAGTCGGGGAAGTGGGGACGAGCCCACCCAAGCCAACACCCACGGCGCGATGGCCAGAAGGCGTAAGGCCACAAGAACGGATGAAGAATACGCTCTCCTTATCGTCATCCGGTGTCAAGCGGCTGCGACCAGATCGGTCACATTCCGCCGCATCGATCGGAAGGCGAGAGAGGAAATCAGCGTTGCCATTTGCGGAACCCTTGCGGTACTCGAGAGTGTAATTGTAGGCGGTAAGAAATTCGAGCCAACGCTGAACGCGGGCATTGTTCTCCCCCACCTTGGCAAAATGCTCAAGAGATTTGTGGTCGGTAAAAATGCGAAATTTCGTGCCCCACAAATAACGGTGAAGTCGTTTGATGCACCATACGATGCTACCTGCCTCGAGGTCGAAGGGAGTCCAATGACGTTCGGAGTCCAAAGTAGCTCGGCTGACGAAAACGATGGGCCGGATGGAGCCATCCGGCTGTTCTTGTTCGAGAGTCTCGCCGAACCCATCGCGACTAGCATCACAGTAGAGGCGAAAAGGTCGCGAGCCGTCCGTAACGGCATCCCAATCTGGATAAACCAAGAGGAGGGTTGGCCAACTCAGACAGCAGGACGCGAACAGCTTGCTCCATGGCAGGGGTGAAGGCGAACGTCGCCTGCTTCTTGAGAAGAGTGGTCAGAGGTCGAATTCGCGTAGCCATGTTGGGAAGGAACTTGCGGTAGTAGCTGAGGCCGCCGAGAAGAGAGCGAAGTTGTTTAACATCCTTAGGCATGGGCATTTTGGTGAGGGCCGCAACCTTGGCCCCGCTAGGCCGAACACCGTCGGGAGAGATGGTGTGACCTAGGAAGTCCGCTTCGGTAGCGCCAATGGTGGCCTTCGGTGGGGTGAGTTTCAAGTTGTGTGTACGCAAACGTTCAAACAGAGCGCGCATGGTATCAACATGAGAAGCAGGGTTGTCGTCGAAAACGATCAAATCATCCAAGTACGATGCAACACCGTGGAGATTTTTGATGACTTCGTTGACCACCTAGCAAAACCACCCAGGGGCAGCAGAACTGCCTTGAGGCATCTTCAACCACTCAAAAAGCCCGGAAGACGTCACGAATGCCGTCAAAGGGATTGTATCACGGTGAACCGTGATTTGGTGGAACGAAGACTTCATGTCGAAAAGGGAATAGATTCGCCCTTTCAACAGCTTGTCCAAAGTATCATCAACTCGAGGAATCGGAAGCTGGCTCAAAGCACAAAGCTTGTTGAGCTTGCGATAATTGACAGTGATGCGAACACCACCAGATTTCTTCGGTATGACTACCAAAGGACTCGAGTAGGGCGAGGTCGAATGTTGGATCAGACAGCCGCAAGATATTGATCAAGGATCGCGTCAACTTGTTTCGCCACCGGGGAGTTAACGCGGTATGGACGAGACGTGACGGGTGCACTGCCCGGAGGAACTGTAAGCTTGAAAGGAAAAAGCGAACAAGATCCAAAGTCGGTGGGGGAACTCGAGAAGACATCATGATAATAGTCGCACAGGACGTTACCAAGCTGAGTGATGACATCCGGAGTCCAACCCGGACCATGGAGATCAAAAGAAATCTCACGGAGATGGCAGGGGAGCTTATCCCACACGCGGGGAAAACTCTGACGTTGTTCAGACGTCAACCGCTCGAGAAGAGCAGGCGGAGGCGACGAAAGAGAAGCACTGGCAGAACCAGGGTCCTCTTTGCCGGGTGGCGACGGCGTGGGTCGCTCATGCAAATTATACACGAAGGGGTCATCAATGCGACGTTCGGCAGACGAATCAATGCCACCTGTCGAAACAGGACCCGGAACCCAGTCGCCCGAAGCAATGGTGGGATCTTGAGCCGCAGATTGAAGACCATCGCTCAAACTGTGGCGAGACACAGCACTGAGAGGCACGCGAAGAAGGGGAGCCGAAGCTGTACCCAGAATGTCGCCTGGTTCGAGTGAAGAGATACCCGCGAGCGGGAGGGAGTCTTTGGCAACCATTTTGCACAAAATGTTCCTCGGAAGAAAACATAGCACATTGTGGAAGCATATCCACGAGATAGTTACCCACGAGGGCGGGAGAGCCATCGCTGCGTACCAAATTAACCGGAACAAGGCTATGTTCAGGGTGAAGTTGGACGGAATGTTTCCCAGCATAGCGAAGTTGGTAGTTGCCATCTGTGGAAGGCAAATCGTGAGCAACTGCGGTGGCACCGCAACTAACTGCTATCTATGCTGAGCCAGGGTACGCTCACCAAAAACACAGTCACCAGGGCGTTTCGCACGCAAAGTGCGGTAAGAGCGGTCGCTAAACCGCATCCAACTGTCTCTCCCGAGGAGTACGTCATGATGCATAACACCATCAGGAACAACGTATGCCCAAACAGCGAGAAAGGAAGTAGGAAGGCGCTTGCGAAGAAACTGCACGCTCAAACGGACAATAGTCGAAGTTTGAAGCGGAGCAGATTTGCCGAAACCTCCCCGACAGCGAGGTTGGGTTTGTTTCTCAGACAACGAGTCCTGCCGACGACGCCAAGTAAGTGTAGTGGTATGCACGCGTGATGAAGTCTGGTTGACCCGTGAAGAAGAACTCACTTGTTGTTACTCTTCTTGTAGAACAGCAGCAGCAGCTGTGGCTGTTGCCTTGGGTATCGGTAGGAATGACACCAAGGGGCACAGGATCCTCTGCACAAGCAGGGGCTACTAGATCCTGTCCCCTGCTTTTTATCCTTCCGCGGAGAGTTACATCGCTCCGCGCCTTCTAGAAGGAACCAAAAGCTCTTCTATGTTCCGTCTACACATGACATACATCTGAATCCTATAACACTGTGTGGGATCCCGCGCGCCCGCGCTGAAAAAAGCGCCCGAAAATGTCGAAACCCCGTGGATTTTGTCAAAATGTCCCCGACCGGGGACATATAAGCCCCCCCCCCCCGCGATCAAGATTGATTGCAGCGTAACCCAAGGGAGTTCCGACGTTTCCAGATGGAGGGCCCCTTGGCCATGTTGACAAGATGTTGAGCTATGGGCCTACAAGCCCTCTCACTGACCATTTTCTCTGATCATATGAATATACTGAAAAAAGAGTAGTTTGGGTGGCTTGACCGCTGATCTTGTCGAGGTCTACAAGCCTAACCTGCCCTAGCGGCCGCACCGTGACCACGCATTAACCCTTCTATGACCCTGTCTGTCTGTGCCCACCGTCCTGTCGCGGGCAGCCCTGATGGCCTATGGGTGGAGATATCTAAAGTTGCGTCTACAGAAGTACACTCTCGTCTCTTTCTGCTGTACTTCTGTCTCTCTCCCCGCACTCTTTCCTCATTTTTATTTTTTCCGCAAGAAAAAGAAAGAGCTAGTCTAGACCCAAAGGGTCGATAGCGGTCTTGGTATGTATATGCATAATCTGTTCTCCTGTTTTGCTCTTTGCATGTTATTTCATCACCCCCTGCCACGGTGCTCTATTTCACCCACTCCGGAGGGAGGTCTTGTATTAATTGTTGTACGTACGCACAACAACTGCATCCATCCATCCCCACGCACTGACGACTGCTGCTGTCTGTGACCTTACATCAATCAGCCGGTGTGTGTTTTGTATATGGCATCGACCGCGTGTGTGTGTAGTGGAAGAAAATGTACTCTCTCCCTGCCTGCGTCCCCAACAACGTGTGTGTCCGATATCCGATATCCGATTGGGAATTGATCGCTTCTCTTCCGAAATCCCGAAAAAATAGAAACCATGTCAAACGGGGAATCTATCTACATAGATGTCTATGTACATACATATCTCCGTCGCGAGGAAACCCATGTCCTGATGTCATCATGCATGTATGATCAGATAGCTCATGAAAATAAATTTCCCAACCAACATCTTCATCTCTAAGCCTCCCCAGCACGACAGATGCGTAGCTAGACTTCGTCCTCCATCCTGTAGTCAGACACAGAGTGCAACAAGCTACCGAGCCTGCGATACCCACAGGGCAGATATTTCCGGACGCTTTCTGATCCCGCGGAAAAGACACTATTATAAATACATGATGGATGTTGCAAGGAATTGGTTGTTGTGGAAAAAACAACTCTTTGCGTGGGAGATGAATTCGTCGTGCGCGATGGGTCTTTGCGTGGGAGATGAATTCGTCGTGCACGATGGGTGCGGACCTCTCCACTCGCCCCGCCGACATCCTGTCGCACCTCGCACACTCCTGCTCTCCCCCTCGTTCCTCACACAACGAGGCAACACGCAACGGGGATATCGAGCTTGCTCTTCTTGAACCCCGGGCAAGAAGCAACAGAGGCGTTCACCAAGTGCGCAAGGTATGCAGCGGCCAAGGGTGCCGGGTTGTGTGCGGGTAATGTCGGAGATTCGCCAGAAGATGTACCGGCCCCTTTTCGCCCTTTTCGGACAAAACAACGATATGATGAACAGGATTGTAAAAACGTAGAGCGCACTGGGGTCAAGTTCGTCCTCAATTTCATTCATTCCTCGCCGCCGCTCTGAACAGGGCGCAAGACGAGGAAGGCTTCGGCCTTCCCCGTTTTCATGCGCGATAGAGGACATTGCCTGCTCTACTGCGGAGCCTATACTCTTGTCTGTGGCATGTGGAATGGTGCCGTTTGTCTCGCCGTCTTTGTTGGTCTTTCATGATTCTATTTATCCGCTTTGGCACGCTGGAGATTTCTACTCGATCAAACCGCCGCTTCTGCGTGTGAGAGGGCCAGGCTATGTACGCGACCGTTTCTGGATTTATCCACACGCATTTGCGTCTCTTCTGTCTGTCTGTCTGAAGATGATAGCAACAGCAACAACAAAACGCAGAACGCCAGAAGGAATCTTCATTTATTATTTGCGTCGTTGTTTTTCTTCGTTTGCTCCTCATCGACTTTTATCATTTAATTTTCTGCCGCATGAATCCACCAACAACGAACAAACCCTGTACTGCTGCTGCTGCACTGTAGGTCTGCTTCGAAACGAACATGGGACGCACGTGTAATCTGGTGTGGCTCGCTGGCTTCGCCCTGGTTGCTCGGACTGCTTCCGGTGGATGCCCGTTCCTTTCAGGTCAAAAGGTGAGAGAGTTGATCGTGTGTGTTTTTTCACAATATTATTGCTCGCCGCGCATTCTTTGTTTCTCTTTTACCGCAAGCGAGAGCGCAGTTTATCATCGCCCAGCAGTACATGTACAAGTGGCGGCCTACTCCATAGAAACAAGCACCTCGAGCCAAGGCTTAAATCCTCACTAATGTACTACTGCTGTTGCATCAAAACGAGGTTTGTGTGTGTCTGTTGTGCCTGCGCCTTTCTGTTTCTTGCTCAACCCAAGAATCTGTGCCTGGGTGGCTTGTTGATAACTTGCTTTCTTCTTCCGTCACCGACACAGCAAGCAGCAGTGGGGCCGCAGCAGTGATGCACCTTCCTCCCATGTATGATATGAGATGCACCGTAATGAGATCCGCCGTACACCCGGCACTTTTGCGCGGCCACAGCCGTAGCACACCCTCTACCGGACAGCTCTATGAACACACACATCGCAGCTCCCCACGACCTCACATAAATAGCCGTATTTTGGCACCAGGAATCTTCATGCAGACGTACGTGGTATGGTGGCGATACGGTGACGACAAGTGTTGACTTGTGCTGCTTGACTTTTCGCGGGGAAAAAATCGGCCCCGCATACATACACATAACAGGTCAACAACGTGATGCTACATACATCCTGTGAGTTAGACTACGCGTACTTTTTACGTAGAACACGTGATGAAGTGCACGATGTCGTTCCTCTCTGTGCGATAAATTCTACCTCCAAAATACATGAGCAACATCCGTCCAGGTGGGCGTTGTTTTTTTTTTAGCAGTGCTTACAATCGGGTCCACCCGGTCCAACCGCGGCCATCATCGGGCACCCCTACAAGACGCTGCTGGAAGCGACCGCATGACACCATCTGATTGGCCGACGCCCACCCCTACCCGACCTTGACTGTCTTTCCACCGGGTGCACCCGATCTTGGCTACTCAACCCCTGGAAGGGTACCCGATTTTTCATTTTCCTTCCCCTACCCCAATTGCCTACCCTAAAATGTGGTGGGCTGTCCGGCCAAAACCCAAGCACACACAATCACGTATCGGACGCACACCGCAGGCCGCTCGTTTGTCGCCAATGAGAAAGCGGCGGGAGGCAGAGAGTTATGTCTATTTTTTAGATGCGTCTCGCGTGTCGAATCTCGTGAGTGAGTGCGGTATCATCCAGCTCTTCTCAATCATTTGCACCGACCGCCTGCCGTTTTCCCCAAGCGAGAGTGCTAGTCGGTCAAATTAGACCATCCGACTAGTCAGCGCTGACTCGTCGGATGGTCTAATTTTACCGATTTAGTGCCACCGCCGGCGGTGGGTCCGCCCCCATCCGCCGTCGGAACGTCCGAATTCGAGGGTAGGGCATTGCTTTGCAGACGTGTGCTTGTGTGCATGGGTTCTGATCCAACAGCCCAGCCATTTTCGGGCAGGGGAAAGAAAAACCGTGTACCCCTGCGGAGGGCGAGTAGCCAAGATCGGGTGCACCCGGTGGAAAGACGGTCAAGGTCGGGTAGGGGCGGGCATCGACCACCAGAGGGTGTCATGCGGTCGCTTCCAGCAGCGTCTTGTAGGGGTGCCCGATGATGGCCGTGTTTGGACCTGGTGTACCCGATTTTGGCCAATGCTCCCTTATTTTTCCCCTCTTTCTGGTAATATTCAAGAGCACCCCCTCCCCTGCTTCCTCCGTGTTGCGCTAACACGTTCTCTCGGAACCAAGGATATCGTCAAAAAAGGTACACCGCAAGAATGCATTCGGAGCTGACTGCGACCTTCCTACAATGCATAAAGCGAGAAGGAGGGCTGTCGTATGCATACTATGGTTTGCCTTTCGTACACAATAAATTCAAGAGAAACAAAACGGAAAACCGCCCGTGCCCCAATACATGCACGTATTATTGGACAATTTACATTAGCGGCAGGACCTTGGCAGCCGCATTGGTGGCGAACGCCTCCTGTCCGGCGACCACGATGATGGTCACGAAGGAGGGGCCGATTACTCCCGAGAGACGTACGAGGCCATCCAAGCCGACATCGTGTCCATGTTCGTCGACTCCAAGGACTTTTGGCCGGCCGACTTCGGCAACTACGGCCCTCTGTTCATTCGACTTGCTTGGCACTGTGCAGGTAGGGACGGACACACGCTTTTGTGCCGTCTTGTGCCGTGTCGCGAAATATATCGGTGACGTAGGTAAACAGGGGCTTCTTTGTTGATCGCACCCGTAGCCTGTGATGGCTGTAGCTGCCAAACCAAGTGTTGATAGAGGTTCAGAGGTCGTTGTTGGGTTGTTGTCTTTGCGCGAGACATCGTCAAATTACAGTGCTTATAGTTTACCTCCAGCGAAGAGCGTGTGCTGAAAAGGGCAGCCGAACCAAAAGCCAAAAACAAGCGTCTCCGCCAATGTTCAACCAATGGTTTCGTCTCAATCAAGCGCATCAGTTTGATGTCAATTTCTACGGAGTGCAGTCAAAGACATCCTCCATACACCTGCCGAAAGCTACGGTCCATCACTGCCTGCGTGCATCCGCAGGTAGCTACCGCGCTTCCGACGGGCGAGGGGGCTGTGATGGCGGCAGGATCCGCTTCTTCCCGGAACACGGCTGGGCCGACAACACCAACCTGGACAAGGTAATTACCCCGCCACGCCTCGCAGTCGGCTGATTGCTCGGCGCTTCATGACGTTTTCAGAACGGATGAACACTCTCTGGCGAAACTCCGGACACAGTCGACCCCCTCCCCCTCCGCTGCTCGTGGACTTCGGCGGCACCCCCACAAAACAGGCCCTGACCCTCCTCCAGCCCATCAAGCTCAAGTACGGCGACGCGATCTCATGGGCCGACCTCATCACCCTGACGGGAGACATGGCCATCTCGAGTATGGGGGGTCCCATCCTTGGTTTCTGCGCTGGAAGGCAGGATGATGACTCCGGTTACGACAGTCTCGAGCTCGGCCCAACTCCCGAACAGGCGCGTGGTTCTATTGAGGGGACCGTCCCAAAATATTTCATGTTTTTGGAGCACGACATGCTAATATAAAGCATCAGTTATTGGATGGACTGTTTTCGGTGCCGCCCTGGTTTGGGACCCAACAAAGCGGTCCGTGCCCTACGAAAATAGTGCGTTGTTTCGAAGCGTTCTAGTGCTGAGCTACCTTTTGACGCTGGGCTGCTTGCCGAAACTCGAAACACTAGAGGACCATGATGTCCTCGTCTTGCTGTCTGTTGCGAGCTGACCAAAACCAGCCGGCGATGTCTTCACGTTTTAGTGCGTCCGAGAGTTTGTCGATATCGCGTGTGTGGTTCTCGATGACCCGTGACCAGCGCTTTAAATAGCCGCGAAGCGGCTGTTGCGGAGCCGCCAGGCTCCCGCAATTTTTTTTGGATATTTACTTCGTTTTGAAAGGAAATTACGTCAAAAATAGTGTTGTTATTTAATAACGGCGAGAAAAAGGGCCCCAAAAAATGTTTTTCGCCTACGGCGAAATGGACCCCCCCCCAAAAAATATTTCGCCTACGGCGAACGTGTTGCGGGCCAAAATGTTCGTTGCGGCAAGCCGCAATATCCATCCAATTGTTGCGCTTCCGCAACTCCGCAACACCTATTTAAAGCGCTGCCCGTGACAACGAAAACAACCCCGTGTTCTCGACATGTGTGTGTCGATCGACACCCGAATAGTTCTGGTTGGGTGGCAACTCAAATTCCCTGCACAACAATCGTGAACGAAACACACCTCGAGCAGGAGGCGACTGCTCCTTGCGCCGTGAACGGAACCTGCGAGCTCCCTCTCGGCACCAGCACCGTGGGGCTCATCTACGTCAACCCAGGTACCATGAAAATTCTGCTGCCCGCGAAGAGACCCATCGTGAATAGTGAACCACCAACCGCCGTACGCCATTTTGCACGCGAGCCTTTGAGGACCGTGAAGCGGTAAACAGAGAGTGTTGATGTTTGCACGTTCCGTAAACCTTGACCAGGAGAACCGAAACAAAACTGTGTTCGTTGCCGTTATTTCCAGGCGGGCCAATGGGCGTCCCTGATCCGGAGGCCAGTGCGCCGCAGATCCGTGAAGTCTTCTCGCGTATGGGCATGAACGACACCGAGACCGTGGCGCTCATCGGCGGAGGGCACGCGTTCGGCAAGTCCCCGTAGCCCGCTGCATAGGGTATATCTAGCCTTTGAAGCACCCTTTCCGCTATTTCTTGCCCCCCAAAGCTGCCGTAGACGGCGAGGTAGGCACAAGACTTGTCCCGATATTATCGCCTGTCGTTTCATCCCTACGATGTTCGGTTCTCTGATTCTGGTGTCACGTTGCCGACAGGATGATTCACGAGGGCAATGTCACCGACGCATGACGACGCTGAGGGCATAACCTTGTCGCATCACGTGGAAAACCAATGTTCCGTTACTATTGACGCACTTCTGGCAACCGTGTCCTTCCCCGCACGTGGTGTCTTTGACCTTTCCTTCAACGATTCACTTTCAAACGTGAATTTTGACTTGACAAAGCAAGATTTACGCAGGTCTGGGATGGCCGCGTCACCTCTCGTTCCCGTAGTTCACTAGCGCCGTCTCTCCCCTCATGACCAATGGCGTGCCTCAGATAACCACCCACTACAACCATGATAACCTGCTTGCTCCCACGTACACTGGTCGTCCCCCGCTCGATGTCCACAGGAAAGGTGCACGGGGCATGCCCCAGCGGTCCTGGCCCCGACCCCTTCGACGCCCCGGAGGCCCCCTGGCCCGGAACCTGCGGGGACCCCGATTCGGCCACGTTCGGGCGCGCCGAGAACACCTTCACCTCCGGCTTTGAGGGGGCTTGGACGGAAGAGCCCACGGTACGCTGCGCGCTTGCTGCGGTACACCGCACCGGTAGTTTGAACGCGGATGGGACAATAAAGGCCTCTCCTCCGGCCTCGAAGACCGAGGGCGGAAGGAGCTACATCTACCAAGGATTGACGAAACAAGCATGATTGTGTTTAACGGCACAGAGTATTGATTTCTGAAGACGGCGTGTTTGCTCGGGGTGGTGGCATATCCTAGCAGACGTTGCGGACAGCTCATCGGTGTTGAAGAAAAAAGAAGAGAAAGTTGAACTGAAACTCGGGTGTGCTGCTACTCGTCGGAAGGGAGAACGACGTCTCTATTGCTGGTTTTTATTGTTCGGCGTCGTACAGAGCAATAAGCGCGCACGTGCTCGTCTGGCATGACCTACGTACGGTTAATTCCCTCCACCAAGTGGTGCCCGGCCCTGAGCGGGCACAACGCCTGACTCCGATTACGTCATGATTCCCGATCCTCTACGCCTCGGCGGTCTCGATCGCCTTGTCGCTGATTCTTTCCTCTTCACGCTTCTGTATTGAAGGTATGGGACAACAGTTACTTCGTCGACCTCCTAGAGTATGACTGGATTCAAGCCGAGAGCCCCGCCGGCAACATCCAGTGGATTCCCGTCCTGAAGGAAGATGCCACCGAAACCGACGTTCCAGACATCATCATGCTGACTTCGGACGTCGCTCTGCTGATGGTGAGGGCGAAAGACGTTGTTTCGCACACCAGCAGCCAGCCGGCCAACTGGTTTCTTGACTTTAGGACTTCAACGTGAAACTAATCGTGACGGACGACCCGTGTACCACAATCCAGTGCTTTCTGGTGCATGAAACCTTGTTTGGATGCTCTCGTCCGTTCGTTGAGTGATACTAGCTCGTCAGAACATATTCTCCGGTGCGTGACTACTGTCCCAAATAATCAGTCTGTGGCGAACCTGAGTGTGTAAATTACAGAATACCACGGCCCACAGCTTTCCACTCGTGAAAGCTACGGCGAGGCTAGCGCAGCGTTGGCAATGCTATCTACCACTTCACGTGATGGCATTTCGTGCTGCGGGTATGCGCGCAACTAGACACTGCAAACTTGTTCACTGTCTCCTCGATTGGCAATAGCCAGGTAGGACTATGCCCCGAACCCATCACACATACATATAGTCTAGGGTTGGTTCGTCAATTTCTCCTCTTCTCTGGGCCGAAGTCTCGTTTTCCTATCCAGCCCCTGCCACGAAAACCAACACGGGGCCGTTTGTAAATCTAGAGCCAACGTCTCGTGATGGGAACCCTAGCTCCCACCGTCTGACAACTTCTTCCTTTCCACCCGTCCGCCACCGCGTACCACCGAAGCAAGCGGGGGAGTGACTTGTGCGAGATATCCCTGAAGCTCCAGCTCAAGCATTTGAATCATGCCGCTTACGTTGTGACAGCGTTTGTCCACGCACCCCGCCCCCCGTTCTGTGTTGCCCATACAACCTTCGCGCGCCACTGCAGGACCCCGAGTACCTTGCTATCGTGGAAGAGTTCGCCGCCGACCAGTATGCCCTGGACATCGCCTTCTCCAATGCCTGGTAACGCCCACACGAGGGACTTCAGTGGCACAAAACACACGGAAGCACGTAAATGAAGCATCTGGAACACGTCTTGACCGATTACCACGTGTTACATTCTCGGCTGTTCAGACTGAGCTTGTCCCAAGACATGTTTTCCAAGGAATCTTATCTGTCTGTGGGTACCAATTTCACAAGCACGAAAGCTACGTATGTAGCCTGAGACTCTGTGGTGGACAGCAGCAAAACTCGACCGCGGTTGCCTTGTGCGGCTTGGTTTCCAGCTTTCACCCCTTTGGTGATCTACGGAATACATCTTCGTCGACGAGTGATACCACTTGACGCAGTGTCGGAGGAGCAACGCTCCGCCTGACTTTCCAACGGCCATGTAGACAAAACTAATTGATGAAATACGAACGTTCCGCTACCGCTTGTTTACTCGTGGGCCTCCGCTGCAACGTTTCCCTCGGGACAGGTACAAGCTCGTCACTCGCGACATGGGGCCGCACTCGCGCTGCGTCGGCACCGACGTCCCCCCCCCGCAAGAGTTCCAGCTCCCGCTCGCCGACACGCCGAAGGACCTCCCGAGCTACTCTGGGGCCAAGGAAGCGATCGGCCGCATCCTCTCGGAGGAGTCGACGTACGCCCCCCTCTTCGTGACCCTGGCCTACCAGTGTGCGTCTACCTTCCGGTCTACCGACTACATGGGAGGCTGCAACGGCGCCAGGATCAGGTTCCCGCCCCAGAGCGAGTGGGCCAGCAACGCGGGGCTGAGTACGGTGAGCTAGTCTCGCTTTTGTTCCGTTTGTTGCGAGCGTCGTGCGGGGGTTGAGCGATGTCTCCCTCTCTGCTTTGTTACCGAATGCCGGGAGGGTGCATCAAACCGCATGTGACTTTTCCTCCCTAGCAATGATGTGTTTTGCCCGAAGTGGTGTAAGAGGTTGCCGACCCGTGGGAGTTGGGAGATAGATCACATTCGGATACATATATCAACCAGGCGTTAGACAAGATTGCTTGGGGACCAAGACACGCGCCGCCTCTCTCTGTGACCTCCTCATCAAGTCCACCCTTCTTCCGTTCGCCCCCCTCCCGCTCCATCCCTTCGCACGTCCCAACCATGCTGCTCAGGTGCTGGACCTGCTGCAGCCCGTACAGGATGCTTACCCGGACATCTCCTACGCCGACCTGATCGTCCTGGCCGGCCATGTCTCTCTCAAGCAGGGGGGCTCTGTCCCCCACCTCTTGTACTGCAAGGGTCGCGTCGACGCGGCGCGGGACGACCCCAACAACTCCCTCCTCTCCGTGCTCGAGCCCACTCGCGAGTACGACGGCGTCATCGTCGGAGTGCGCGACCGCATGAAGATTGCCGGCCTCTCTGTGAGTGCTCAAATCTGCTTCGTTCAAGGAGGATCCGAAAAAAGGCTGCTGCAATGCGTAGATAGCCGTGTTTCTTGCATGTCGTGCTACGTTGGGGTGGCGGGGCGTCTACCTTGGAGTGTGATGGGGACATTTTGGATACACCATTTCATCGATTTCATCCATAGTCGGTTTATCAGAAAGTGGGGGTTCCGTTTTCGTAGGGAACGCACAGGTGGCCGGCGTGATGGATATGGATTGTGCGGGATGGTGCTTGCTCCACACATTTGCCTTTGTCTTGGTTGTGTGATCTCATTCCCCAGTGAAATCGCCATTCCGTCTTCGTGCCCGAGCAGGTGGCGCAGATGGTGGCACTCGCGGGGCGCCCTCGCAGTTCTTCTTTCATGACCGGCCTTGGGTACAGCGGCTCCTACACGGAAGATGACGCAGGTGCGTGTCGAGCCTGTGTCGATGTTCTGTTTGGGTATGGAATTTGTTTGTTCTTTGTAGCAGTTTCACCATTAAACTGATGTCACTTTGTACTTTGCAACGTGCACGTGAAAAAGGGCGGCAATTCTATGTTCGGCCCAACCCTTTCGATCACATCCTGATTCCTGTCGCATAAGTTTGTGGTGGTGGGTATCTCTTGTCTGGCGGAATTTCGTTCTGCATGAGTCAGCCCGCTTGCGACAAAACTCGTGACAAACTGGACAGTTGTCCCCGATGCAATGTCAGATCATTTCTGCGCCTTGCAACAGTCACCCCCCCGGTTTATAGTACATGAGTTCGGACGTTTTTCAGGCATGCGCGTACCGAAGCCGTGTCCGAACCCGTACCGCCCCCGTGCCGTAGCTTCAATACTGCGCCACTGTTTCAGAACGCGGCTCGTTTCTAAAACCTGTGTTTGCTTGTATACCTCCGCACGGTTCCCGGCATCATCATCAGTCCTGTCGAACACCCTCTACACCCTCCTGCTCACCGAGGACTGGGAGGAGGTGCCCGGGATGGACGGCAGGGAGTACCAGGCGGTCGGCAAGTCGGGCGTGTACGTCCTCAACACAGACCTAGCGCTGGTCTGGGACCCCGAGTTCAAGGCCCAGTCCATCCTCTACGCGCAGGACAACGACTACTTCCGCGACGAGTTCGGGTCTGCTTGGACCGCTCTGATGGACGCTGATCGCTTCGACGGACCCACGGGAAGCATGTGCGACCACTAGCGAGCATGTCGACGTTTCCTTCTCCTATCGGGGGTGCCTAGGACACCCTTGGCGCCACCTGTGCGATTACAACGGGTTTCGCCTCTCGACACCAAGGTCGATACGGCGGCGACTCCGCCAGGGGCGTGTGCGATTACCTTTCTTGCATATCAGCCTGTAACATTGGCGTGAATGTACGATTAGGGCTCATTTCGAGTGCCAAGCCGTGCTGGCTTGGGCTGGTTGAGGTTGTCCCCGATGACCTTGGTCGACGAAACACCTGGACGGGCTCGGGGCTGTTCAGGGGATTACATAAGCTGTAGACAAGATACTAGTTTGGCTGTCAAAGGAGCTTGCAGAGTGGTACATAGAGATAACGGAGCTTGCAGAGTGGTACATAGAGATAACGTAACATCTTCCGAGTACCAGATCGGGCAAATAGCAGAATGTTCGTTCGCTCCAAGAAGGTCAGGACACATTTTGATCATCACATGAAAAAATATTCCGTTGCGGCAGTTAAGCTTCTCTTCTCTTCGTACACCATCAACTTACGCTGCGACGACCATATCTCGAGTTGAGGAATAGTTCCAGTTCCATAGGGCCGATCCAACTGGTAATACCCACGCCGTTGTACCAGGATTACCCCGGCGAGCGTTGACCCAATCAACGTTTGAGCGCAGCCAGGCTCCGTGCCACGGAAGGTAGGTTACCTCGCCGTTAGTCTGGTTTGATTGTGGCGAACGTTGCTTCCAATACCTCGTTCCTAATGGTACGCGACATCATGAGGAGATGCAACTGTCTGTTGCTTGATTTAGTCTACCTCGGGGTGGCCCTTGACGCCGTTTGATCGTAGGCACAGAATGATTTCCCTTGTTTCCCAAGCTGCCGCTGCGGTGAGCATGTCACTACCGGCTGTGCTTCTACTTCCCGTGTCAAAGGAGTGATGGACGTTGGTAGGCAGTGATTATTCCTCACCCTACCTTCCGGATGTTTATCGTCCGTCAATGTTCACACTCGTTTGTCGGGAAAGCATCAACGATGATCGGTAGTGATGATGTGATCGAATGGTCGTGAAAAGCGGCGAGAGTATTCATAGGACAGAAGCACATGGCACACACTAAGGCGAACGCACGCGGAAAACGTTACAAGGCACAGCCTGTGCTGACTGGTGGTGACAAAATAGCGATCATTGTTTTCGAGCGGCCGTAATCACGTCGTGATCACAAGATCAGCAGTTAGTTATCATCCTGTATGATGCTGACACGACGGAAATAAATAGCATCAACGTTTATCGTTAGTAATGGGATCCAATAATCATCAAACCGACGTGGGTATTCATTGGCGGGGAGCGCATGACAAGCACAACAGTGAATGCTGAGCGGTGGTGATAAATACCGATCATCTTATGGGCCATCGGTGACCACCCCCAAACAACCTTTTTCATCGTCCGTGTATGTTCATGCTCGCGTGGCGGTAATCGCATCAATGTTGATCGGTAAGATGATGTGATCGAATGCTGATTACCATAAGCAACGAGTATTCATTCATTATGGGAGGGGAGCGCATGGCAACTCAAACTAAACGAAGTGAACGATGATCGGTAGTGAATCATATCGACCGTCACCAATATCGAGCGGCAGTGATCGCGGTGATCAACGGCGATCAACACGCTCGTATGGGTCATCCTTAATGAACGATACCCCTTCATTTCACGGCAATGTCATCAACAGCGCTGAACTGTAGTGATCGGATTCTGACGAATACTCTAGTGAAATTATTTTTGGGGAAATACCAAAGCTTAGTCAACATTGTGATCGCTGGCTTGTGTGTCCAGAAAACAATGCCATGGAAATTAGTTACGTTACTACTGACGACGAATCCCTAAACCCGTATTATTTTCGGGCTGTTCTAAACGGACCGCAAATAAGTTTCATCGAGAGAACCCGAAGAATACACAGAACAGTGACAAGAAAAGCGGTCCCTTTTTCTGCTTGTTCTACTGTAGCCGTGATTACACCCCAAAAATACGATTCTTCGCTAATTTCCGCGGTTTTTGGGTCGTTCGATCGATCGAGATATTTTCTCCGAATTCATTCGGACTCTTTCAATGAGTCTGAATGTTCGTTGTGAAGATTCTATGCATGCATATATACGAAAACATCACATTTCCCGAAATTGTGATTGACCTCCCGATTTCCTCCGCCCGGAGATGATACACTAAAGAGCAGCGCCCAACAGAGACAGACATCGATTGGTGGATTCCATCAACCCAGTTCATGTATTCTTATTGGCGCAAATGACTAATGAAGTTTACCAAGCAAGAATCAGGTAACAGGCAACTAACTCCCTTTGTTCCCTGTTCCGTGTCGGAACATTTCTTCAGCGCGCGTCGGCGCGTCGGGGGCCCGCAGCACAGGTACCTAATCGGAGCAAACGCAACCGAAAGAGGAAAACGAGGAGTGGTGTTCAGGATTGGTGTAGGTTTCGAAGAAAGCTGTTGACTAGAGCGTACACCATCCGCATGTGGTAGGTATCAGCTAGAGCAGGCGGTGCTCGTCGTGTCGTACCATTCGCACCCTCGAGAGGGCTCTCTGGAAGGCTTGCTTCTTGAGTTAGTTGCGGTCAACGGCCGCTTGTCGCCTTCAATGGTACTCTATCTTCCCCAAAAACAACGAACGGCTACACGTTCATCCGCGCACTTTTTTTCCATGCGACAAACATGATGATGGTATCAATGCCTACATCGCTTGAACCGGTAGCATGAAGCACCTACCTGTGGCAGTCACATCCACCCCAAGTTGACCACACAAAAATACCGCTGTATTGCCACCGAAGATACCGAAGAGTCTGTGTTCCACGTTCTATTCGCCAACATTATTACAATTTTTCTGAACTTGGTCGAGAATTTGTTCCTACTACATAATGTTGTTGATGTTGTCATAAAACCGTTCCGTTCTCTCTACCCAGTACCTCTTCTGTCCAAACTACAGTAGTTTAACTTGTGACACGGTCGATTCCCGTGGTCACAGAGGCTAACTAAAAAAAAAGGTACTTCGTATAAACGAAAATATATTGGCAAAGCAACAGTGTTTGCTCCACCGGTGGAAAAACCTCTTATTTGCTCCACCAGGCAGATCTCCACCCACAGAGCTCCAATTGACCTCAAACCAATGGCATCGTATAGGTATGGACTACAACTGTTTGCAATGCTACCTAGAAGCTAAATCCGACCGGTGGCTGCAGAGATATGCTGAAAAAGGGGGTTCCGCAGCATGTCAGGAAGCAGTAATCGTCTCGAACCTCCGTCCGCACAGCTCTAATTGGCCTCAAACCTCTTGCATCGCGTCGGCGCGGTCCATGTTATTCTTCCAAGCTATCGGACACTCCCATCCGATATGTTTCCGCAGAGAGATGGCCAACAGAGGGGGTTCCGAAGCATCTACTATAGGGGGGAGTTCAATGTCGATTGTCCCGCTATACGTCCCGTCACATAGCTGCACCACGCCTGACTCTGCCGCACCGTGCACAGCTATCATTCAAGCCATTGTGCACCCCGATCGGACCAATGGGTGCAGAGAATCGCCCACCCTCGGGGGCTCAGTGGCTCAAGGGCCCGGTGGAGCAGATAAGCTTCACGGCTCCACCAGGCCATACTCTACAAGAAAGGGTGCTGTGTGCCCTACCAAGGCTTGCATTGTGTCGGCACGGCGCACAGCTCTCATTCAAGCCATCGGACACCCCGATCGGACCAGTTGGTGCTGAGAAACCCCCACCCACGGGGGCTCAACGGCTCAACAGTCCGGTGGAGCAGTTTAGCTTATCTGCTCCACCAGGCCAAACTCTATCTACAGGGCGATGTTTGCTCTACGAATACTTTCATTGTGTTGGGACGGCTCACAGCTATCGTACAAGTCGCCCGGCACCCCAATCAGACCGGTGGATGCAGAAAAACGCCCACCCACGGGGGCTCAGTGGCGCAAGGGCCTGGTGGGGAGCAGGCAAGCTTATCTGCTCCGCCAGTCCAACTCTCTCTACAGGGCGCTGTTTGTCGTACGACGACTTGTGGCAGGACAGGGGCACCCCCTGGATATGGGTGATTTTTCTCAAACGGGCACCCCCCCGGGCTAACGGGCACTTGCCCCCCTACAACGGGCACCCTCTTAGGGCTAACGGGCACTCCTCCCCCCACAACGAGCGCCCCTCCCGACTAACGGGCACCCCACCTCCATTGTGGGCCCTCCTCTTTGCTTACGTGGCCGCCTCTTGGCGTCGTGTTCCGACGGTGCGGTGCTCTAGGGAATGATGTATTTACACTGTATATCCTGACAGATTCACTGTACTCCCTCATCATATGTACTGTATTTGCTGATCAGACACGAAACACTGTATTCCCTGAGCAGATGGACTGTATTTCCTCATCAGATACACCGTATTCCCTCTCTCGTTTCCCTTTATTCCCTGATCAACTACACTGTCTTCCCTGGTCAGGATCACTGTATTCCCTTGTCCGATACACCGTATTCCTTGTACTTTTCACTGTATTCCCTGAGCAGATTCACTGTATTCCGTCATCAGATACACCGTAAAGCAGCCAAACCTCGGTTGGAAGAATCGTCTTTGAATCGTTTGTACGAGCTATGTAGAAGCTTTCCTTCTTCGGCCCAAGGCCACTGCCCAATCGAGCATGCGTGCTTAGCCTTGTCAGCGGCTTTGTCGTTGAGCGAGCGTAAGTGCCTCACCGAGCCGTTGCTCTTGACGTCGTTTGCGTCTCCGCAACAGGGCATCATTCAGCGGGCGTATAATGCCTTTGCTGTGAGGTTGCTGGGCGTCGCCGAACCCCACGCACCGGGCGGAAGGGTGGCTTGGAGCAGGGGCTCTGCCAAGCACCCGAAGGTAAGCACAGTCGAAAGGCAAGATTCGTATTTACTAGGTGTGACACGAAGAAGCTCGCTCTTCGGCTCATTCGGTAGACAGACCTGGACCCGAGGTTTGTTGCACAAACAATCGGGCAAGCGATAAGCCAGCCTCTTGGCACCGGCCAAGCCACCAAATGTATGCCGATAAATCCCTCGACTCGTTGAAGTCCGGCATCGGCACCACAGCTAATAGTGTTTTACACTCACTCGTTGTGGTCTTCTCCTTTCGGTGAAGATTGTGCCGGCGGAGGAGACCACGGAGGGCATACTGTGAATCGAGATGCACATCAGGATGTATCACGACGGGGCCATGAGCAAACTACTAGAAAAACTCTCCGAGGTGATTGTCTCTGCGGAATTGATTGCAGCCCATTGTTAATCAGGTTCGAACAATGTCGCGCTGTATGCACCGTTTTCGTGGGAGATGTTTCGGGTAGTTCACAAAACGCCAGATTGTTCGGAACTGTATTAGCCAAACGACCCCAGAACTACGGGTGTAATGAGTGCACATTCTCCTTGATACATGGCAACGATGAAGATGCGCCACAAGTTTGACTGTCATCGAATCAGCCTGTTGTAGATAACATGAGTGTACGCGAAAATGTGTCGAAAAGTGTATTTCTTTATATTGTGCACCTGTCATATGAATAATGCTATCTCACATCATGATCCACTAACTTTTTCCGTCGGCTGCAATCCTTGTTCAGGATGCGGACAACCCGACCGTCCAGCTGCAAGTACCATTTCTCATCGAGAAACTTGCCCCACGACCCGCCCACCGCAAGGTTATCATGATTGCGGCTGGCACGGCCGTCAACCCGAGTAAGCAAAATTGTTTCGGACTCATGGATTGTCTCGTGCTCCCATCCTTCGTGTCGATAACAACGCCGAGTGCGCGCTGTGCCCACGCCGCTCCATTGGAGCATGCGGACGGAAATCGTGGAATTTTGGCGATCAGGACGTCTTAGGCGCTGCAAGGACGTAGGGTCTCTTTTGCTTGCACTGAGGTTCAGGGATCGGTCGTGAAATACGCGAAAAACCTGTTTCAGGAGTTTTTGTAGGCCCTTGTCTTGCAAAGAGCTTGGGGCATTGCGGCCCTTCTCTAGATCTCGGGAGCGGGTTTTACCAGTGCAACATCAGCACCGGTGTCGGACGCCTTCGGTACATTGTCTCTCAATCGCGCTACCACCGCGCGACACACCAAACGGAATTGGTGCCAGAGGTGCTCTCAAGATGCACAAGCGACGCCGACTGTTAGATATACTCGCAGCAGTATCTGGTCGTGAGGATCCCAGGGGGATACGTGTTGGGAATTTCGTGTGTTGTGGGGTACCACCGGTGCAGTCACGGGGACCCTTTTGGCGTGGCGGATGTGATAAGGCTTGCGTGCGTGCAGCTCACTTCCTCTCTCTCCACCGCTACCGCCGTCGCTCTCTCCAATCAAGTTTCCTTCTCCAACGCTTACTCCAACGCCACCTCAATCTCTCTCTCTCGGCCTAACACGGCCGACTACCCAGTGCCCCAAGTAACGCCCAGCACGGGCTTGCTGCACCCCAGCGTAGTTTACCTTTCACACTAGTAGTGCGATATCACGGTATCTGCGCGCGGGCGTAGCCTTCCGGGGGTTGTGTAGTCACGCGCAATCGGTAGACTCCCACAACACCAAACATCATGGAGGACATCGACCTCTCCGCCCTCAGCGGGGAAGAGCTACAACAAAAAGTGGAGGAAATCGTCCAGCAACGAGTGCAAGCCGAACTCGAAGCCAACAGGATCAACGAGGGTGAAGTCATCATTGCCCAACCACCAGCCGACAACCCAGCCACTCCAGCGGGCAACCCAGTCCCACCTACTGGTAACCAACCATCACCCTCCAGCCAGGGTACACCAGCCACATTCAACGACCCCAGCAGCGTCGCACACATCGTGGCGCAAGCGGCTAAGGCGACAGCTGAGGCCATCGCTCAACAACAGGGCTTTGCCCGCTCAGGCACGTTACGTGTCAATCCTGGCTCAGAAATAGAACCTTGGCTTGGTAGCGTGAAGAAGGAGAAGGACTTGTATATTATGTTTGATATTTTTCGTGGTAAGATGATTTCATATTTTCCGGAGGAGGGTGTGCATGATGCGTTGGAACTGGAGGCTGAGGTCAAGGTTGGAAAGAGGGGTGTGAATGTAGCAGAGCTTCGGAGACTTTTTGGCAATAATGTGGTAGACAAGTCTTTCAAACTATGGAATATTCTCATCAGCAAGGTCTTGTACCCCCCGATTCAGAGTTTGATTCTGGCGTGTGAGAGTCCACAAAAAGGCTGGAAAATAGTGACCGAGTTCTATCAAGAGAAGAAGCAGTCAGAAAAGTCTAGGTTGGAGCAGGGCTGGAAGGAGTTGGAGATGAAAGAGTCGGAGAGTGCACAGGACTATATTGCCCGGGCAGAAGCCCTTCGCCTGCGTCTAGCATCTGTAGGCACGATTAAGCATGAAACAGATGCCAACAAAGACATTGCTCGTGGCCTTCTCTCTTCGTTGTACGTCGTGCAAAAAGGAATACCGCTTGCCCATGATGTTCTGACGTTGCGCACCCTTAAGACTGTGGTGAGGGACGCCCACGTGGAGATGGAGCGCGAGAGGAGCAAGGGGGAGAGGCGCGAGGTGGAGCTCGCTCTCGCCGCGTCCGGCATGGGCCGGCGCGGCGGGGGCAGTGGGGGGACATCCGGGGGTCAAGACGGCGGCCACGGAGCAGCTGACGGTCCAGATCGTGACGGAGAGAAGAAAAAGGGTGACGTGTTCAACGACGACCCCGACGGATTTTGCCGCTACCACCAGTCCGAACTTCACACCAACGAGCAGTGTCGTTTCCAGCAGCAACTGCGGCACGCGCGTTCGACAGAGGGCGCCGAGGAACGCCGCTCGGGCGGCGGCAGCCGCGGTAGCGGCGGTAGCCAGCGAGGGGGTAGACCGCCGCCGGGACCCGGCATCACCCCCCCCGCGACCTCTTCGTGGACGTGGGCCTGGTGGTCGTCTGGGGCGTCACGCGGGGGGTCGTGGGCCCGCGGGACGCCATAGCAGCGACGGTCGTGCCGAGAGAGAGCGGGCAGGGAGAGGCCCGGGGCACGCGCGTCCTGGCCACGGAAGACAGCAGGCGTACGTTGTGTACTACGCCCACGATGATGGTGGCTACTACGAAGATTACGGCGACTACTACGACGGCTACTCCTACGACGACGGCCACCACGACGCCGGGTACGCCCACTACGCCGGCGGCGGGGACAGCTACAGCTACTCCTCCGGGTACGAAGACAGCCGTTCATCTGACGGCGGGATCCACTACGTCTACTACCCTCCCGCCGGCCAAGATTCGTCATCCGAGCAGCCACGTCAGCCCCCACCCGCGAGCAGCAGCAGCACCGCTTCCTCCTCGTCCTCTACCCCTTCTCCTGGCGCGCCTCCATCTTCGGGCTACCTCCACCTCTGCACGGCACAATCGGTGCCCCTAGGCAAGTCTCACCCCGAAGATTTTTTTGGTAGGATAGGAGTGACGATTGGAGTTGAGTCTGCTGCGTCTGCTTCGTCTTTGCTGAGTGTGGAATCTAGTGAGGGGCCGCCTGGTAGCGAGAGATGGGTAGCTGATTCAGGTGCAAGCAACAGTTTTACCAACAGTAGCCAATACATGTACGACCTGCAGGAGATCCCCGCAAATAGGAAGTATGTCGTCGTAGGTGATGGTCGACTGCTAGAAGTGCAAGCTATCGGTAGCATCAACCTTAGCCTCTTTCAGGAGGATGAGAATGGCGAACAAACGACGATGGGTGTGAAGCTGTCAGACGTATCTGTAGTGGAAAGCCTGAAGTTCAACCTGTTCTCCACGCATGCTGTTTCCCTCAAGCAACAAATCCTTCAAGACGAGCGTGGTGCGACTTTACAAAATGGACTGCTGTTTGCTAGAGAGGAGAAAGCGTCTGCCGCTTATGCTATACGGTTGCCTTACGACCCATCTGCGATTGTAGTAGACTCTGCTGCTTTGACCGCATTCGTGAATGCCCCCGATTCGTGTTCCCCTTCCCCCAGCGGGGGCTCCGCGAAATCATTGGTGTCAGTGTTGCGTTTTCCTCCCGCTGGCTCTGCTAGCGTAGTACCTTCGAGTGAGAGCGTCACGCCCGCTGGTCCCACCAGCGTAGTACCTTCGACTGATAGCGTCACGCCCACTGGTCCCACCAGTGTAGTACCTGCGAGTGTGAGCGTCCCGCCCGCCGGCTCTGCCGGCGTAGTACCTTCTTCGGCGTCCGAGTTTGTGTGTGTGGGTACTTTTCCGGGTATGGATCTTGGAGATACGAGTGTGCTCACCGACGAGCAGCTCATGGATGGCTATGATGACACCCCGTATCAAGAGTTTTTCCCCGCGTTTATCCCTGAGACTGATGCTGCGCGTGTGGCTGCTGTTTTGGATGGTATATTGATGGTGGTGCTGATTTTGACTTGGGTGCGGCCGCGCTTGGCCCTGGTGCGTCTCCCTTTGCTCTTGGTTCAACCGATCAGTCCGTGGACATCAACCGCTTCCACCGTTCCCTCGCACACGCTTGTGAACCGCTTTTGAGAGAAACTGCTCGGCAGAGGGGCATCACTCTCACAGGCGAGCTGGAACTGTGCACGGGCTGCATGAAGGCGAAGGGCACGCGAGCGTCGGTGCCGCGGGGGCCGGGAGCGCGGGCGTCCAAGCCACTCGGGGGTGTTCACCTGGACTTGTGTGGACCGCTGGTGCCTTCCCTGGGCGGCAACCTCTACCTGTTCGTCGCCGTCAACAGCGCCTCGCGGTGGAACAAGGTCTACGGTCTCCGGCGGAAGTCCGACCCGCTGGCGGCAACGAAAAGGCTGCTGGCGGACGTGGGGCGGTACGACCTCGGGCGCATCGAGTGTTTCCGCGTCGACAACGGCACCGAGTGGACCCGTGGCGACTTCCGGCAATTCTGCGACGACAACGGCATCGGCGTCGAGTTCACCCCGCCTGGCACTCCGAAGTACAACGGCGTCGTCGAGAGCGCCATCTGGCGGATAATGAAGGCCGGCATGGCCGCCCGCTGCAGCGCTGGCCGCGTGTTCAACGTCGACTTCGCCTCCATCCCCGGCCTCGACCAGCGCGGTGACCGTCTTTGGATGGAATCGGCGAAGTGGGCCGCCGACGCTATCAACCAGTCGGCGACCAAGGCCAACCCCGGGCGATGCTCGCCGCACGAGATGTTCACCGGCGAGCAGGGGCCGTTCCGCGTGCTGCCGTTCTTCCAGCCCGGCTTCATGCGTGAGGATCGCCGTACTAAGCTCGACGACCAGGCCACCCTCTGCTACTACCTGAACGGCGGGGACAACCACCCGAGCGGCACCGTCAAGGTCCGCAAGGCGTCCACCGGCCGCGTCGTCTACACCAACAACGTATCGTGGGTGACGTCGGCGCCAGCCGGCGAGGGGGGTTCCGCTGGTATCACCGCTGCGCCGACGCACCCCCCGTTCACGCCGCCGGTCGTCTCGATCAACTTTGGCCCAGTCCCGACGCCTTCGACCGCCGCCACGCCGCCGCCAGCGCCCACGCCGTCGTCCGCTCCAGCTACCGCGCCCGCTCCAAAGCCTTCGATCGTCGCCACGCCGCCGCCAGCGCCCACGCCGTCGTCCGCTCCAGCTCCCGCTCCAGCTCCGCCTTCTGCCGCCTCGACATCACCGTCAGCGACTCCCGATCCAGCCCAGCCGCCGCCGCCGGACCACGCGATGCCCCCGCTTACGGCTCACGCCATGCGGCAGCTTCGCCCGGGTAAGAAGGCCGAGGGTATGACAGACCCGCGGCTGCCGAGCCGCACAAGATCGGGGACCAGGCACAGCACAGGTCTCATCTCGATGCTAGACAAGAACACTCTGGTGTCGATGTTGGAGACTCGGAGCGCGGTAGACGAGGAGCGCAGGGAGCCGGGGGGAGCGGGGGGAGGAGAGCAGGCGGGAGCACTCGCAGCGGTCGACCTGGGGGCTGGAGGAGCTGGCTTCTCACTTGCATTTGCCACGCTTCTCGCCAACCGGGAAGACATTGACGCCATGCTGCGAGACCAGCGCCCGCCGGAGCAACGCCCTGACCTTCCGCACTGCCAGGCTAGCGACCTTCGTGTTCTAAAGAGCTACAACGAGGCCATGGCGTCGGAGCACCGACACCTCTGGAGCGACTCCATGCAAAGGGAGTTTTACGGCTTGTTGGAAGCGGGGACTTTTACTCCGGCAAAGTAGCAATTAGTGGAGAGTGCAATTAACGCTAAGTGGGTATTCGATTGGAAGGCAGATGAGTTTGGGTGGCCCACCAAGGTTAAGTCGAGACTTGTAGCGAGAGGTGATATGCAGAGAGAGTACATTGACTTTGGAGAGTTGTACGCGCCTACCGTTTCTGTTTCGTGTGCTAGGATGTTGGCTGCTTTGGCGTGCGAGTTAAACCTCGACCCGTGTCATTTCGATATTGAGCAAGATTTTGTGCGTTCGGAGTTGGAGGAAGACGTGTACATGCGCCTACCGCAAGGATGTGGAGCTCTATCTGGAATGATTGTAAAATTAGGCAAGAGTCTGTATGGCTTGAGGCAGGCATCTAGGCAGTGGCATGCAATGCTAAAGAGGTGTTTGATAGCATTGGGATTTGAGCAGTGTTTGGGCGATGCTTGTGTGTTTCGATTGATTGAGGATGGGTGTGTTGTTTTGATCTTGGTAGTACATGTCGATGATATTTTTGCTGTCGGAGAGAGGGAGAGATGTGACAAGTTTGGCGCTGACCTCAACAAGTCTGTGCCGGTGAAGAACCTGGGAGAGTTGAGATGGTATTCTGGCTGCTTTTACGAGAGGAACAAGGATACTGGTAGGTTGACGATTTCTCAGCAGACTTTCACGGATGAGCTAGCAGCAGAGTATGGAGTAGTCGGGGGTAAGAGCGTTCCGGTGTCTTCAGGAGTGAAGCTTTCTGATTTTGATGCGGATGAGGTAGAGACAGACTTTCCGTTTCGTGAGCTAGTCGGATCTTTGATGTGGCTGGCGACTCAGACTAGACCAGACATTGCGAATGCTGTAGGGGCAGTAGCGAGGTATTGCGCATCTCCGAAGCAGGTCCACTGGGATGCAGCGATAGGCATTTTAGGGTATGCGAGGAGGACGAGTCACTTGGGTATTTCATTTCAGAGAGGTACGGTAGAGGGATTCAGCTTGCAGGGGTACGCTGATGCGGACTTTGCAAGCAAGGCAGCAGGCCGTAGGTCGGTATCAGGGGGGATCGTGACGTGTGGAGGAGGCGCCGTGTCTTGGTTTTCCAGAACGCAAAAGTGCGTCACGCTTTCGACAACAGAAGCAGAGTACGTCGCGCTTGGTGATGTAGTGGAGGAGGTTTTGTTTTTGAGGCAGGTCTGGCGTTTCATGCTGCCACAGGTTGGCATGTCGTGCATCCCAATATTCGAGGACAACCAGGGGGCGATTCAACTAGCGCAGAACCCCATCTCGAACTCGAACTCGAAGCACATAGATGTAAGGCACCATTTTCTCCGGGAACTGGTAGAGAGGAAGGAGATTTCTGTAATCCACGTGCCGTCACCGTACCAGCGTGCAGACTTTCTCACGAAGAGTTTGTCGAACGATGCTTTTGAGTCTCACCGTGATTTTGTGATGAATTAGGCATGAGTGTTCATTGTGTGTCTGATGAGTTTATTTTGGTTTTGTTTCGTTTTCCGCGCCAAGTACTCGTTACGCGCGATGCAGCATACATGTTTCTTTGAATTGGTTTTCTCTCTCATATTTTGGCATGATCTTGATGGCATACTATTATGGAAAAGACGTCTTTTGGTTGAGATATCAGATGTTAGCGAAGTTTTCAGTGAGAAACTGTTGCGAGCAGGGGGGATGTTAGATATACTCGCAGCAGTATCTGGTCGTGAGGATCCCAGGGGGATACGTGTTGGGAATTTCGTGTGTTATGGGGTACCACCGGTGCAGTCACGAGGACCCTTTTGGCGTGGCGGATGTGATGAGGCTTGCGTGCGTGCAGCTCACTTCCTCTCTCTCCACCGCTACCGCCGTCGCTCTCTCCAATCAAGTTTCCTTCTCCAACGCTTACTCCAACGCCACCTCAATCTCTCTCTCTCGGCCTAACACGGCCGACTACCCAGTACCCCAAGTAATGCCCAGCACGGGCTTGCTGCACCCCAGCGTAGTTTACCTTTCACCGACCTAATCCGACGTCCCGCTTCAACCCATGCCTTGTCTCTTGTTTCTCCTACTTGAACCCACTCTCGACGCGACGTCTCTTCGCCGAATGTCTTCAACGGTCGAACAATCGGCCTACGGCGTCGACAGTGGTCCAGCAGTTTCGAAGCTATCTGAGCATTTCCAGGTGGGTGGCAATTGTTGTAGACAAAGCAACCATCACCATCACTTGCACGACTGTTCCGAAAGAGTGAATCTTGCGGACGGCTCTCGTGAACTGCAGAAGATACGAGCACTCTCACGAAAAACTAAACGGGATCCCTCCCATTTTGCTGCCAATTGCCGCAGGGACACCTTTTTTACGAGCACTCTCACGAAAAACTAAACGGGATCCCTCCCATTTTGCTGCCAATTGCCGCAGGGACACCTTTTTCTCCCGAAGATCGCCGCTGGTCCTAGTGTGGCAGGGCACGACCGAGGCTGACTTCTACGGTACCGACGACATCACAGCCTTGCAAGTGAGTTACACCCTTGCATTTACCAGTCTGCACATGTAGGAGGCATCTCCGACTTGTTGCTATGGACGTGGCCGGCCCTTTGCCATTCCCACGTAGCTTCTCAAAACAAGAAAAAAACATCAAACCTTAACCGCTGCAGCACCCAATCGGCCGTGGCTTATTCTTGAACCTACGACACCAGGAAAAGAGCGATGGACTCCTCGAAGTGACTGCTCTGCGCGGAAGAATCCCCGCTCTGCCTTCCGCAAGGCCGCTGGCATGGCCCGGAGCGTCTTCTCTGCTGCTTCACCCCCGCCTTCCAACACCAGCTCGTTCAATCCGTTCACGCGTGCGGGGTTCGGCGCCTACGATGAGTTTCGAGTCATCCGATTCTCCTCCCCAGACCCAGCCTCGAAGTTGGTCGCGAGTTTTGATTTGACCCTCTTTCGTCTGCCAGGCACAAGATTAAGCGCATCACAGAAACCGTTCTTCGTGCTTGAAATCCGAGAAATTCCCTATTCCTCCGGTGTTGCACGCGCCCAGCCTTTCTTTGCATCCCAGCCTTGCGTTTCAAAGTTCCTGAAAACATACACTATGTCAGAACGCCTTGTGGTCGCGATGTGATTCGGGAAGGACGTGTTCGATGCTTGATTGGCGTTTCTGCCCTTGCTTCCTTTGATTCTCGAATGTCCCGAAATGTTTTTTTGTCTTATGTCTGTGAGCATATATGTGGTTCCGGCAGATGCCTCCCTCAAAACCTGGTTACGGCAACAACCCCAGTCGTGAGCAGCAGATACACCGCCACAAAGTACCACGCAATGCTACTGCTACCTCGTTCCAACCGTCGCCAGGTCCGCCTTCGACGGCAGCTCCGGGACCCGCCTTACATTACGCCAGCCAGGATGGGTCGCGGGGATCAGCAGCCCCCCCTGTACCGCACCCCATGCCGTGACGGGAGCGGGCATGCAGAGGACAAGGACAAAATGATCCTAATAACTGGCAAGCCGTTACCCAAGAAGGTGAGACATGATAAATACGGCCAGGCCCGGGCACACGGATGTAGTTGCGGCGTTGCCCGAAATGGAGCGCCGGACGGGTCACTTTTTCCCGGACAAACAAGACTTCTTTACATAGTTGCTACATCCGACGGAAACTACCACCCACTGCTCTATTTGGTTGCCTGGTCGTCTCAAATACCTTGTAGCAGACTGCCGTTGTTCTCTCGTTGTAGTCGTGGCGAACGGCCACAGCTGGTATGGGGGGCGGTTGTGTGGATTGTGACAGATGTGGAGAGGACAACACTTCGCTCCAAACCTTCTGGGTCCTTCGAGGGCATGGATCTTTCGCTGGATTCAACGAGGTATTCGCACGAGCGCGTCCAGATGGGTTGCCGGACGAAGCTAATGAGGATGCCTCCCCCGTGTCGGAAGCCGTGACATATGAGCACAGCGGGATTACTCTGCGCGGGGCATTGTTGATTGGTGGGGGCGTAAAATACCTGCGCAGAGTAGAGAAGACTTTCATAAGTGTTTAATACTCAAAATGTATGCGTTCCATGTGTCCTAAGCGAATTATTGACGGCAGTTCTCTAAGCCTGCGAAGAAAGTGCTGGTGATGTCCGCATATTTAACCTGTGTTTCGGCCATATGTTGCATTTTCATGCTCATGGATGGATTGTTGTTCCTCATGCTGCGGCAGACCTGGCGCAGGATGAAGCGGGCTGAGAGCTCAACGCCAGGAGCTCGTCGTCATGCACGTACGCAGGACACCAGCGTAAGTCTGTATGCTTGTAAATGAGTGCAACGAAACAGGCGATCATAGAGGTTGGCATTTCGGAAAGGGAGACGTCTGGTGATGTACTATGGGAATTGTGGGATCTGCATACCCTGCGAACGTGCACCGGGCTTGTTCACAAAAAAACATTAACCGCGCCCGTACAACAAACTCGTTCGCCTCTCTGGCGTGTCATTGCCAGACGTATCAGGTGGGAGATGGCCTTGTTCGAGGCAAGGTAAACCGGGAGATCCTCCAAACGGTCTTCGGCGAAGCCCTGAAGACCTCGATTGCGGTGTACAACAGCCCGCAAGAGTGGGACGGCCTTCTTTTCAGTGACAGCGACGACGAGGGCGAGAAGAAAGGGCAAAGCAAGGATGATGCCGATCTCATTGGCACCGACCAGACCACATGGAAACTTCAGGAGACAGACCAAGTTGTTTATAGTGAAAAAAAGATGGTTCGATGGTAACAGTCAGCTTTCTCGAACCCATTGCTTGGTTGTGACGATATCGTTCAACTTGCTCAACTGCCCTTGGGTCTAAAGGCAGCAGCAGCAGCAGCAGCAGCAGCTATTCGTCAACCCTAAGTGGTATGCCCTTGTTGTCTTTGTAGAGATTGTAGTGCTTGATGTTTAGATGCTTGTTATCTCTCACACCCGGTTGGGGGGAAAGAGCAGGGAGTGCCACGCGCACGCCAGCTGACAGCAGCTGGCGTGGGGGCTCCGCACAATCATTCTCTGGTCGTACTACCCAACGCATACCTATGTGCAGTGCACCTGAAACTGTCATCTCGTCTACAGATCCGACTACATACGCACTCACACGAACACCCTCCCTGGTTCTTTACACTAAAGTAACTAACCACTTCTTCTGTGGGATGCGTGCTTCCGCCACCTCAAGTCAGGTTTTTTCCGCAAAAACAACAAATCAATAAAAACCTAAGGGGAAACCCGGCCACCGGGTCAAAACCCCTCCCTCCCAAGTATGGTACTACTAAAAAGCAAGATAGAGACGCAAACAGGATAACTCCGACAACGTCATCGATCCTGGTCACCTTCCCGCCACGTTTCAATATCACCTTCTTCCCTAGTACCCAACAAAGTCCAAAAAGTCTGCAGCCACTGCCCCGATTTTACTCCCACAAAGCCCAAACAAAAGTCTGTTGCGATTTACTCCTACTGCCCTCCCCGCTCGACGAACAACTATCGATGATCTGAGCACCTAACTTCCTCCCTCCCCCTTGATTCCGGCGCATCGCGTCGCCCCCGGGGTCGGTGGTAAATGCTATCATCCCGCGACAGCTGTTTTGTCAAACACATCAAGCCTGATAAGCCTTCTTGCAACAACTCTTGCTCCGACTCTCAGAAATTCAAACTTCAGCCTGCTCACACACAACTCTTAGACTCTCAGAAAAAACAAAGTTCCAATTCTCAACCGTCATACAGCACGCGTCGATATGGCTGCTCTCCCTCACTTGAAGAAAACTGCGGTCCATCATGTCGTGCGATAACCTCCCTCGCTCTTTGCTGCGAGTGGTACGCCACACACAATACCTCCTTCATTCAACGCTCGCGGAAAACACGCTTGACTATATACTGCATCGAGAACTTATCATTGCTGAGGCTTCTTTTCCTCCTACAAGACAAACACAGTGATTCTCATCATGGGGCTTCTCCCCTTCTACAAGACAAACACTGATATAGATTGTGGAGACGCCTTGCTACTGCGAATCCCTCAATAAGGTGGATACGTCTGGTACATGGGTCCACACCTACCTGCAGCAACAACGGAAATGTCACCCACAGCAGTATAACGGTGTCCTCCCCTCCCCATTTCCACCTCACGCACACAAGGTGATATATCTGGTACATGGGTCCACACCTACCAGCAGCAACAACGGAAATGTCACCTACATTTGTGTCCTCCCCTCCCCATTTCCACCTCATGTTGACGCCAGCACAATTTCACCTGCGCCGGTGTCTGCAACTTTTGATACACCGGGTCCCGTGTACCCCCTTTTTGTCAGCCGACACGCTGGATACTGTTTTACCCCTGTGCGTGAGTTTTCATCGACCGCGGGGAGCGCCTGTGCTGCATCCCCTCCTTTGATACACCGGATCCTGTGTACCCCTTCTCTTCAGCCGACACGCTGGATAGTGTTTTACCCCTGTGCGTAAGTTTTCATCGGCTGTCGGGACCGCCTTTGCTGCATCCCCTCATCTGATACACCTGGTCCTGTGCACCCCTTCTGTTCAACCTCCACGCTAGATACTGGTTTACCTCTGTGCGTGAATTTTCATCGGTTGTGGGGAGCGCCTATGCTGCATCCCCTCGTTTAGTACGCCTGGTCCCGCGTACCCCTTTTATTCTGCCCCAGACAAAGTTTTCATCGCCCGCGGACATCATGAAATGGAAGCGCCTGTACCGCGAATCCCCATCATAGAGCGGCTGGTTTTTGGAGCCGAATTACCATCGTCGTACGAAACACCCGCGATAGCACGCCTGGATTTTACCATCGAAAAAGGCGAACAACAATTGCTCAACAAAACACCCACACTCAAGAATGGAAACGCCTGAACCGCGAATCCCCTTTCGAAATCATCGTTGGTCGTATCATCGTAAGCGAAGCTACTATCACTCTACGAACACCAAATCAGAAAATGGAAACGCCTTAACCGCGAATCCCCTGTAGAAACTTTCGGTATCATTCGTCGCAAGCAAAATCATTCAATATCACTCACGAACTCAACCAGAAAGAAGCGCCTCGCGGTAACGCCGCGTTGTTGTTGGCCCTCGTTCAAAAGCATAGCAGATTTCGCGGTGTCGCCCTTGCTCCTCTGCGGCAATTCCACGTTCACCAGAATCGCCATGACTGCAATCCTCCAGTTCTCCCGGTGCGAGTACTTTTCCCGCGATCAACAGGCTCGTGTGTTGTGCCGCCCGCTACTCCACCGCCGATGCCGCCGCCCCTTTGCTGCCATTGTAACTAGACCGGTCCCAACAGGTCGCTCATGTTTGTGGCCCCGGAGGATTACCCTCCAGGCTCCACCTCCTGACACCTCGTCCCGTGTGCCCGGGGCAGTCAAGCTACCCCCAGCAGCGCCTTTGCTAGAGCTGCCAACCGTACAGAGAAAGTCGATGGTCTGGAACCCACCAAACCCACCATTTGCAGGGACGTCAAACGCCCGCACCGGTACACCTTCCGTGCCCGATCTACTGCTGCTCTCTCTTCCAGCGGCGTCATCTGTTCTAACGCCAGCTACAGCGTGCAGCTCTGATAGGCAGCTGCCTGGCGGCGAGATTCCAACAATCCCACCGCAGGATGCGGCGCGTCTTCCAGAACCGCCTGGCCCCCCTCGGCTTCCGCAATCTGTTATTGCCTGCAGCAGCGATGACATCTTGTCCATCACCACCTGCATCCAAAATCCCTGCGCATTGCTTCCCAGCGGGGGGCCAGCGGATGGGTGGCCCGGGGAACCTACTCCCCCGACTCCACCGGGTGGCACCCCAAACCGTGTGCCCGGCGCGGCTCCTCCGCGCCCTGCGGCGTTGCCAGCGCCGCTTGACTCCCCCTCTTCTGCCCCCGCCGCCCTGGCAGGCGGCATCTGAAGTTGCCCTAGCTTCTCCATGACAGCCGACAGCACCTTGCTTTGCTCCTCGAGCTTCGTGGACAGCTCCGCCACGCGCGTGTCGATCGTGGTTCCGCCGCTGTCGCTCTCTGGGGTGTCGCCAGGCATAATCTCCGCAAAGGGGCTCCTTCGAAGGAAACTCTAGAGTATTCGTCAACCCTAAGTGGTATGCCCTTGTTGTCTTTGTAGAGATTGTAGTGCTTGATGTTTAGATGCTTGTTATCTCTCACACCCGGTTGGGGGGAAAGAGCAGGGAGTGCCACGCGCACGCCAGCTGACAGCAGCTGGCGTGGGGGCTCCGCACAATCATTCTCTAGTCGTACTACCCAACGCATACCTATGTGCAGTGCACCTGAAACTGTCATCTCGTCTACAGATCCGACTACATACGCACTCACACGAACAGCAGCAGCAGCAGCAGCAGCAGCAGCAGCAACAACACCGTCAACATTCACCAATGGTGTCTTGAGGGAGGCGTATTGTCAACGTCCCATTTCGATGGAAGAACGAATGCGAGTGTGCAACCTGCTTCTGGTCATGCTCATGGGAATGGTGATGGCGAGTTCGTGAAATCGCCTTTGAACAGTTTTTCTCCCGAGAACAAACTATCGGCCTCGCCGACAGCCGCTCGAAAGATACAATCGTAGTCGGTCGATATTTCGAAGGCTGTGTCGAGCCTTGACAGGCAGATACACATTATTCATTCACGGCAGCCAGACCAGGGTTTTCGACCCCGTCAACGAATGCCGTGCTCCGCTGGCAGGTGGTTGTTTCAGGCCTAAGACGTTCGTGGTCAACGTCTGGGAGCTTCTTTCCGACATGGGGGTCCTCTCTGCCTGCACGGTTTTGCTTGACTGATTCCGAGCGATGTTTCGATCGTCGACCGTTGATCCAGAATACCCGGAGATGTTGTCCCAAGCTATTATGTTTTCCTTTTGAAGGGCCTTTGTGGGCGCGCACACCCTCCAAGCACGCAAAGTCAACGAGCCACCGTTTCTGGGAGTTGCCTACGATGCAAGAACGTAACTGAGCAAGAAGGCTAGGTCGACTCGCAAGTCGGCATGTCCCTGGTGAACAGTGGTACTAAGCGAATGAGTTCCTCGGTTTCTTCGCCGCCCGAACCGTCGTTCGTGATGGCAATTGATGGCGATCATGAGTTTTTTTATTCATGACTGTGTTCGATTTACCTTGTACAGACTATGTAGGCGCGGCTACTGCTTGGCAGGGGTTACATGGGTATTGAGGGTGTGGTGGGACTTTCGAGTGAGTTATTTCTTATTTGATACCCGTTACACTCGTTGTCACGTTAGTCGAACTTAAGGACTTAAGTTAAGAACAGGATATCAGAACCTCGAAGTGTGCGAGTATTCTATAGGATTATGTACAGGGGTAGGGATATGTGCATGCAAATAGTGATACGAAGTACGTGATTAGCGAATAAATTTTCTCGTTTTCGCTATTCATTGCTATTGTGCCGTCTGTTTATAGCTTTTGCTTTTGGTCAGTCGGTCATCCCCAAACCACCCCCTTTCCCGATCCTTGTTCCTCTGTGTCATCTCGCGTCTACCCCAGCTTCTGGCTATTCCGATACCTGGCCTCGTCTCTTTCACTCACCCTCACCAGCGAGGCATGCCTCCCCGCCAAACCAAACCCTTCTCCAGCCATTCATCCCTCCTCTATCTCGGATCCTGGCTCGACCTAGCCCTTTCTTGCAACCCCTCGCCTTTCTTTTCTGACCCTCACCTGCGAGGCATGCATCGTCGCCAGGCCAAGCCCTTTCTTTAAGCTGCTCTCAATATGTCAGCTCGCCTCGCCTTGTTTACTCTAGCTCACCTGCGAGA